TTGAAAGGATTTTTAATTACCCATTAATTGGAAATAAAAGTATGGGTTTTAAAGTAATTTTCAGCTTGTTTTAGAAGGTTTATGAGTGATTTAAAGAGTGTTATGTTGCTGGAAATTTATGTTGAATATGTATTAATGTCTCTTTGTAAATTTGGGCTGTAGGAGATTTCCAAGTGAGTGATTTTGTGTAGTCTTGGCGATTTTGAGATCATATTCAAGGTACGTTCGCGTACTTGTTAATTATTTAAGTGTATAGAAGCATGCTAGGCTTTATTTAATTAATTTCAAGGTAGTATCATGATAGGTGTTGGTTGGAATTATTGATTGGATTGATGTTGGTGATTGAATTGTGAAGTATGAATTATTTGTGGTGAATTGATGATTGGAATTAATTATGTTGACATATTGAGTATGAACTGCACTTTTATTATTGGCATGATTGAGAGCTTATTGAATTAAACTAAATGTTTAATTTGGTTTGAAATATAAAAAGGGAATTTTATTGTGGTTCATATAATTTTTATTGATGCTTTATGCATGAGAATTGAGTTATTAAGTGTCTTAGTACACAGGGATAAATTATATTGCGGTGCCTACGTGCACTTAAGGTGTTCTAAACACCGAGGGATAAGATTTGCGGTGTCTTATGCACTTAAGGTGTTATTTAACACCGAGGTAGTTTAAAAAGGATTCAAAAATAAATTATGTGGTCACTAATTATTCAAGAATTAAATTGGTATGTTTGATTGCTTGAATGAATTATTATGATTGATTGTGTTATGGTTTAAGAGTCATCACCAAGTCTAAAAATATGTAAACAACATAAAGTGAAAGAGATTACGCACCAAAACTCTTGGAACGTATATACCTTGAGTATAAACATATGGGGGGAGTTATGGGGTCTTATATTTAACCATGACTTTTACTAGGAGCACAGGACGTCCAGTCACTTCATGTGGCATTTGCCTACCCGATTAGCTCTCGGTGTAGTTAACCTCAATTTATTTGGGGCAGGGATTTGGTGGAAAACTCGTTCGATGCGTAATCAAATTAAATAAGCAATTTAGTGGTCTATTTGTTTATTGATTGTGTTGTGTGCTTGAAAACAGGTGCAACAAGGTATGTTGTGTGTTGATAGGATTAAAGCATGTTAGTGTGTACTGTTTACGCTTATGTACTCAGGATTGTTGATTGTGTATTGTATGTTTGTTTGGCCTTGTCTTTATCTTGGCCCTACGACAACCCATTTCTAATGGCGAGTAGTGGGGATAAAGTAAATAAGAGCTTTTCAGGTGTGGAAGCATATTCATGATGGGCGAGTGAAGAGCGACATATTTAGTTTTCATAAGAATATGATGTAGTTTTGTTGCTTTAATTATTATATGTTTTGCTTGTGAGACTAACGCAAAGATTTTGAAATGTTTTATTCTCGGTTTTATTAAGGGCCTACAATGATTCCAAGTTGTAGGTTAATTTCGTTTCACTTTGGTTTGACTTTACTTTTGTTTGGTTTGACTTTTTAAGTTGACTTGTTTTGAATGGTTTTTAAGAGAGTTTTCCGCTGTGTGTCTTTGATATTTGCCTTAGCCGTTTTCACGGTGGCGTAATGTCTTAAAATTTTCTACTTCGTATTTTAAAAAGGGCAAAACAGGTATTTTAAAGGAAAGGAATTTCTAGGGTGTTACTTTTATGGAGTGGTTCTGGGCTAATGTAGCAGGATTACAAACTGAGGTGCTGGAAGATGGGCCTATGGTGTTTAGTGTTGCGTGTTGGTGGTTGTGGAAGTGGAGAAATAGCATATGCTTTGAGAAGGATACAACCATCCCTATTGACCAAGGAGCATATATTTATGCTAGAGTTAGTGACATTCAGAAAGCTATATCTAGTATAGAGAAAGAGAATAATGGGGGGAAGCAGGGGAGAGTTGAAAGGCTGATCAAATGGCAATTCCCTCGTGAAGATTGGGTGAGATTGAATACGGACGGAGCAGCGAAAGGGAACCCTGGTGCAGCAGGTGCAGGAGGTTTAATTCGTGGGCATAGAGGTGAGTTGTTTGAGGTGTTTGCTTCCAATTGTGGGATTTGTTCTTGTACAAAGGCAGAGCTGTGGGAAGTGCTGCGAGGTCTGGCTATTCCGTGGAATGGTGGCCATAGGAGAATTCAACTCTCGTTGGATTCGGAGTTGTGGTGCGTGCTTTGGTGGATGAGATTCCAGCCAATTCACCTTATATTCACCTGATCAGGAAGTGCAAATCGCTTATTGCGCGTCAAGGGTGGATTTTTGAGCATCGTGCCCGGATGGTGCCTCGTTCGCTTGGTTGATGCCTGCTGTTCGAGCTGATGGTCTAGGCTTGTTTTGTTTTCTTTGTTTTTTGTTTTCGTTTGGTTATTTTTGTTTTTTGCTGTGTGAGTTTGTTTAATTTATGCTTTGTTACTTTTTAGGGGCAGCAAAACTAACTCGACTATTTCAACATAGATTCTGATATCAACCAATAGAACTAGCATAAAAATAAACACCCATCACCCAAATTACACCCCGAAACAGGAGACGACCCTAATCGTCCGTTCTGAAAAAAACGATGATTAAAACCAGAGAGATTATTCTCAACTAATACAATTTCAACAAATGCTTGTCATTAAAATTCCCCAATAAACTCAAAAGATGAGTTGATTGCAAAAGCTAATATTCTCCCCTTTCACGACACTTGTAGACTATATTACAGTGTTCAATATACTACGTATATCATAATTAATTAGTTTTTCATCATTATATTATCAATATGATCGATCAAACTACCAGTAATTGCTATAATTATATGCTTATTCACAAAAATCATCAAATTATGTATCCTTTCCAATTAATCATAACAAAAATCCGAGTATACTTGTATTAACAATTTTTCATAACAATATTAACAATTTTTCCAAGCATAAGAAACTTAATAATTCCAAATACCATCAAAAAAGAAGGATTAAAACAGAAAAAAGATTGATTCTTTAATAATCAAACATTAATTCATCATAATCCTCTTCTCCAAGACTCCACCACCATTCCCAACATATATATCTCACAGAACCCCACTCCCAAAACATCAACAACAAACACAAATCGATCGAAAAAAACAAAGAAAACATCATAAAATCCCAGATCTCAAACCCAGAAAAATATCAGATTCTTCTTTTCTTCAACCCTAAAAATCAAAATAAAAATTAAAAATTACTACTTCTTCAAACTCCCACGAATCCCAGGAGGTGGACCAGTTGATGCAGTCGAAGTAGAAGCATGAAGATTGTTAATCTTATTTTCATCAAAAGGGATTTTAGGGTGTTTAGCATCATGATGAATTTGCATCGATTTGACATCTGGGGCAGTCACTTTGCAAAGAGGGCATTCCATTTTAGCATGACCACCTTTAACGGCGCCAGTACGATCGGCGACGCCGGCTTTACCGCCGCCGCGATTGGTGGTTGCGGCGTCGAGTTTGGCCGCGAGTTCTTTAGCGGTGTGTTTCCTTGGCTTGGCTTTCCCTGTCATGGTGATGGGGTTGGAATTGGAATTGAAATTGGGGTTATTTTGATTTTCTCTCTCCTAGGGTTTGTGGGGTTTGATGGATGGGAATTGCGGGAGGTGGGAGAAAACCCTAATTTATAAAGTGGGGAAAGGTAGATTGATTCACAATTTGGGGGTTTATTATTTGAGAATTGCAACTTGGGGTAGGATAGGGGTATTTTGGGAATTTTCCAATGTTATCTCTTTGGTGTTCTTCCATAAGAATCACTGTGGTCGAATCTTTCCATCTTATGTTTCGGATCCAAACAAATTTTGGGATTGGGTCAGCTTGTGTTTTTAATCCTTTGGGTTGATCAATCTCCAAACAAATTTTGGGTTCGGGTCGACTTGACACCCTTTTTAGAACTTTGGGTTTTGGGACAGCATAAAATTATATTCAAATTACTCCGTATTAATTTTGGCTCGGCCTGAAGCCTGCTATTACGGGTTTGGACACAAACTTTCTAGCGTGAACTTGGGTCCAACCTAAAGCTTTGGCTCAAAACAAGCCAACTTTTTTTTTTTTTTTTCTTTCCCCCAAGACGTGGCCCCGTGATTATACCATAAAATTATGATTTTAAGGTTAAGTGTAAAGTGTAATATAAGGTGCGATCAAGGCTGATCAAGTGCAATTGGGTTCAATAAATTTGATTTAGATACATTTAGGTGAAAAAACTGTACTTTTACCATAAAAAATGCCGAACATATTTTCCCTTTTTACTCCCATTTTCAATGTTTTTCTTAATAAATTTGTCCATCCCACCAAAATAAAAATAAGAATTTAAAAAAATTAAAACAAAGGGAGTATGTATCAATGTATCGCGGCTAAGACTTTAACTACAGAGTATCTAAAATAAGGTCCTACAAAAAATACCAAGCAATCAAGCATGGAATAATATGTTTAGTCATTGTAGGCCTGTGTCCTGGACATAATCGTCTTCTAGACTATAAATAGTCCATTCATACACCCCCATTCAAGCCCAGCTTACAAGGGGCCCAGCCTTTCCAATGAATTCTATCGTTGGTTTTTACACCATTGAACCAACATATCCTTGCACAAAAGGGTGACTATCATTATTTTGGGGTAACATTTAACATTTTTATTAGTATTTCTAGTTTGTACTCCTATTATGCTATTAGAAAGAGTATATAAAAACTTTGATTACTTGTATGAAAGTTGAGTTGAAGTATATAATTTGTCAAAATGGTCACTATTTCCTTTTTGTTGAATACTTCAGTATTTTAGCCAATAGATAACAAAAGAAAACTATTTATACATGTATACAGAAATTGAAGGGCAAATGAATAAGCCAACATTTATATATCTGTCTCTTGAAAGACACAAAGAGTCTGGAAATACTCACAATTTCTACTTTTCTACACAATAAACCATGCATCATTCAACACAAAACTTAGATTTTGTTACCAAGTAAAAAAAAATTCCAAAAGCGTCATTATTGTAAAAATGAATGTCAAAATCATTTTCCTCCAAAACCAAACTGTTGACGAGTATAGTATGCATATCATAATAATAATATTGATCTCTACCGAATAATTACATAAATAGTGTGTTTTCACATAATCACATCTATGTCATAAATTTCACAATGTAATGTACTATTATTCCAAATGTTTTATATGATAGATTTTTGACTAACACTAAAGAATTCTATATTATAACATCCACGCTCAAATCATATGCCTTTGTTTTTCAATAGCTCTTACCTCTAGGGGAGGAATTTGGAAGAAATCAGCACCCACAGAAATATAGATATGATCCTTTAAAATTTTGGGTGCATCTCTCCTTTGGAAGATAGGACAGTTGATTCCAAAAGCAAAAGTTGTTCCTAAAGTAGTCAAGTCAAATGCAACAAAGAACAAATATTGATACTCATTCCCAAAAAAGACGACATAAAAATCCATGCACAATGATATGGATCGGCATAACACCAAATTAAAATAGTCTCGTGACAAGCTTGACATTCGTTGGTAAAACTTAACTTCTGATATTACTGAGTAGGAGACTAGGAGTTATTAGAGTCATAGAAATCTTTTAATTATGAAAGGTGATACTATTGTTAAAGGTGCCGTAATCGTAAGGGCATCCAGTAGATAAGTCATTGCAAATTGACGATACATAGAACAATATACAAAAAGTACATCACATTATGCAGTATAATCTGAATTTATAAAACAGTGGATGGGAAAATTTGCATCGATAGAACAATGAAATTATACATGAAACTAAAAGAATAGACAATTGAAGACAATAGATGGGAAAATTTTCTTTTCTTTCCTTGATAAATCGATATACATCAAATTTCTTTTTAAAAATGTAAAATGACATTCTTTCTCTCTTTCCCTAGCATCGTATGAGGATTGCTTTCCAAAATAATAAACGGAAAAGATGAAAAAAAAAATTAATATTTCCATGCTTGTTCCAAATTAACTAAAGAACAATGTAGGCCAAAGGACGGCTAAAACAAAACTTTCCCATTTAGAGTATAAAAGAATAAGAGAAAAGGCAGCAAGCTGAAAGTTTTGGCAAGCAAAAGTTTTGGCAGAAACCTGCACTCTGGCTTAGCTAACATTGATCCGGGCTGTTGGCATGCTGTCTTCTCGGTCCAGCAAACGCCTCTTATTAGAGCCATAGCCATGATATTGGTAGATGAGGCTGTAAAGGGACTGTCTAATGCGCAAAACATCATATTTCTCCATGAAGCTCATGTCATTTGTCCTGGCTTTGGCGCCTGCAAAGCGTTGGTATTCCTCAAAAACTGAGGGCAAACACCAGTTCTGCAATTTCCTAAGACAGCCAACGAGGCAACCAGTGCGATGCTGCAGATACCAAGGCAAAAAATTATGAGCAACACAGTTGATAAAGTTGACATGTTGAAAAATCAAGAATATAAGAACTAGAACTTTGGAGTTCAATGAAGTATGCTTGAAGTTAAGCCATTACCTTTCCACGTTTGCAATGAATCAGAATGGGATAATTTCTTACATCTGCAGGCAAAAAGAAACTCAAAGTTAGATGAATAATGAATTTAGAAGTCAAAAAGTGGACTAAGAATTATTTAATGCTTCGTGATAGTTCACGTAGAACTACCTATCAAAATCCTAAGAGCCTCATAGATGACATCCTCAGGGATAGTCTCCTGCCAGAAGCCACAGCAACAGCATAAGATAACAATAAACTTACTTTCCGTGTTAGCCATTAACATAGCTAATGCTTAAGAAACAAATTTTGAGTGGAGATCTATAACATGGTTGCTAATTGTTTCAAGTTTTTACCAAAAGCTCCATTATCAAAGAATATTGCCAGCGAGTATGCATATAACAATCTGATATAAACTATTCCAATTTAATGTAACAATCTTATCACAGAGAGCTTAGCAAAAATCAATTCACAGGTTATGAACATTGAATATTTAGATTTATTCCAATTTAGTGTAACAATATTATCACAGAGAGCTTAGCAAACACTAATTAACAGGATACAAACAATAAATATTTAGACTAACATTCGAATCCACCTTCACACATGCTTAAATTTTTACTTCTTTTAACAGAAGTATGTATATTGTGCTCAATGCAATCAGCTAATTCTAGTTTTGGCTCGAAAAAGGGTTCAAACACTCTTGACTTTCCAATTCTATCCATAAATATTTTATTTGGGCCCATTAGATTCGTCAATGCACAAATGACTCAAGCCTAGTCATGTTGGACAAGAGATAAAGCGACTTTTAAGCCCACTCATGTGATCCTCCAAAAGAAAAAGAAGAAAAACAAAAGCCAATAGCTTAATTCCCACCACATGTGAAAAGCTCGATTTCACAGTACAAAAGTCTTCAACAAAAAAAAGGATCCCATACCTATCAACAATTAAGCCTCAAACATATCCCCTTTCAATATGTAACTTTCAAATATTTCCCTCCATGGACTTTGTGCTAGGAAGAAAGGTAAGGAGGACGGAATTTATTGTAAAACCGAACAAACACGTAAAAGATAACTAGGACAAGCTACTTTTCTCCCAGGAAGGGAGAAAAGACGAAGTACGACAATGAAGATTGACACACTTTATAGCTAGATAATCACATCTACTTTAGTTAAAAACCATCCATCAAAATTGATAGCGATTTATAGGATTAACAAGCTCCCTCCATCGCCATTCTTTAACCTATCAATCCAAGGTTCCCAAAATGTCAATCAAAACCTAAATTGCACGAATCTTTGAAGTCTACGGCGCATAAACACAAACTAAATCGAAATCCTAGCACTCCACGTCTCTAAATATCATTATCATAAACAAAGTTCTAATGTTACTTGTAACAGACCTCTGGTTAACTTCTACAAACAACTTACCAAATCCTGTTTTCTATCCAATAAGCCAAGAAAGACATATAATTAAAATTCAGCAATTCAATAATCAATTTCTATCAAACCCTAATAAAAAGGGGGGAATTTTTATCTCTCAAGAATTAAAATATTGTTAATTGTATTATTATTCTTTACAAAAACCAATTAATAAGCATTAAAACAACCAAAACGAATAAATATTTCCAATATACACCCAAAAAATTTCAGAAAAAAATAAATATCATACGAAAATATAAATTCGGAAAAATTAAACACAGAAAAATTATACCTTAGTCCCCTCAATTCCGAATTGATACAATCGAATATTATGCGATTCAAGAAACTTCAAATGCTCTTCAGGGTATGGCTCGGTACACAAATATCTGTAACATTGAAATTTAAATCAAAAAATTAATTATAACAAAATCAAATAAAATCCCATTAATTATAACACACTAATTAACCCCTAATACAAAAACTAGATTAACCCCTAATTACAATAATTAATCACCAAAAAATCAAAAAACTTACATGATTGACTTGAGACTTAGGGTTTCGAGGAAGCCGAAATTTGAAGGTTCTGGAAACCCAGATCTGTAAAGCCCATCTTCTACCATTGAAAAATTGGCAGGAGGAATTAGAACATCATCATCTTCTATTCTCTCTCCTCCATTTTTGCCGCCATCTTCAACCTTCTTTTTCTTCTCCTTTTTCTGCTGCTTTTCCCACAATATTACGCTCATTCTTCAAGAAATTTATTTAATTATTAAATTTTATTGATTAGAAAATTACCTAGAAAGAATTTGCAGAAGGAAAAAAAAAAAAGGGAAATTATCAAGAGCAGCAGCTACAAGAACAACCCAGAAAAATAATCGAATTGTTCTCGAAAATTAATTCCCACATTATTTAAAATAGAGGGGAATTTATGAAAAAATTATATAAGAAAAACCCAGAAAATAATCCGAATTGGGGTTGAAGAAGGAGAAGAGAGAGAAAGTTGGATGAAAGTAGGATTCTAGAGAGAGAAATAAGAGAGAGAAAGTTGTTGTCCGTTGGGATTCTTGTGAGGGGGACGCTTACTAAAATACCAACACTTATACACAAATTAAATTACTGTAAATATAAATATAAATAAAGTTTTTTTTATTTTTTTCTTTTTTCCAATTTTCAACATATTTTTGGGTTGTTTTACCTAGTCAACAAATTTATACTCCGTAGAAAGCTTTTTTTTTTTTTTTTTTTAATTCTTTTCTTTTAAAGGGTTTGAGGGTGAATAATAAGGGCTTTTATCTTCTTAAGAAGGGGTTTTTTTAGGGGGTTAAATTGGCAAAAAAAACAGCTAGTAAAAAGATTTTATTTTGTGTTTGGTGAATTGGATAGGATAACAACAAAAATTACTGAATATTATGGGTTGGATTAAATTCTGTCATGGCTAAATATTCTATATAGGTTGAGAAATTATGGGATTTTGATATGGTATTGTCATATAGTGCACATAATTAAGCATGAACGATTTAACCTAGTTCGAGTTGAACAATTAAAATTAAAATTTAATCACATTATTATAATACTTCCTCTATTTTTTTTTAGTTGACGCATTTCTTTAGTCACGTTTGTCAATGCAAAACTTCAATCATTAATATCTTTAATTACCGATATATAAATATTATAAAAAGTTGATATTTTGAAAATATATCGTGACAAATCTAGCAAGATCTCACATAACTACATTTTTCATTACATATAAAACACAAAATATGGTCAAAGGGGAGTAAGTGAATAATGCTAAAGTCACAATGTGCCAACTAAAAAAACGGAGACAGTAGTATACTTGAACTTCATATATATTTTATAAAATAAAAAATTGATAAGAAAATATAAGATTCTAAACCGACCAGCACAATCCAATTGACTCGATTTAACAGATAAAACCCTTGAAAGTAGGGTTGGGAAGGTGATTAAAGAGCCCGACACTAAACCAAATACTATTTGATATCTACAGTGTGTATTATAATTGAAATTCATCAATACTCCATCCGTATCTTTTAATATATAATATATATGTTTATAATACATATGTAAGTAAATTTTCAAAAGTAGCTAGTTAATTATCCGTTGTGCTTATCCTCCTTCCCTTGAATTCTATTAACGAATTTCTAATTTAATAATTTGTCACTTATGTGAATATTTAAATTTAATCATGTACATACGTTGCAGTAAACAAAGGGATTTTTTTATTTTTTATTTTTTTTTTTTTTTTTACGAAAACAAAGGGAATATTTTGCTTGCATGTTTTTTTTAGAATTTTACTAAACCGGTAAATGCTGTTATGTTTCACATGTGCTAATTAATTGCCTTTTGTGAGGGTTGGTGTAGAACTGTAGACTATACTCACTATAGAGTATAGATTCTCCAAGCTATGCTTTAGTAACTCAATTATCAAATCCATTGTCTAAAAAAGTATATATTAAAAAAAAAAATGTTCTGTTTAGGTACGCCAAAGTGCATTATTATTATTATTCTTATCAAAGGGGGGAAAAGTTGCATGATTAAGCACAAGATAATAATTATAAATTTATAATAACTCATTTGACTAATCGTACGGCAACACCCTCATATATATATATTTATATATATATAATAAAAACGTCATGATGAACAACCTACTCACTTAATCATACTATATATAAACAAACAAAAAACAATTCCTTAAAAAAAAAAAATTACTTGCCTTTTCCTTAATTCTTTTTACATTGATATGGAGATATATAAAAGTGTATTATAAAAAAAATTACTTGCCTTTTCCTTAATTCTTTTTACATTTGATATGGAGATATATGAAAGTGTATTATGATTGATACACAATTGTACTCATATGCATGATTTATTGTGACTTCTTAGCAAAATTAATTAATTGATATAATAGTTATCTGGCTACTCCTAATACAAAAGTCTTTATAGGCAATAAATCTGCATGTATATTGTTTAATTATAGAGACTTAGGTCTTTTTTTTTTATTTGCAAAAGACTTAGCGTTTATTGAACACTTCGTTTACTTCGTACTAATATATGTACTTCAAAATAAAGTATGTGCATTGCTTGGCCTTAAAAGTTACAACAATCCAACTTTTCTTATTTTGTAAAAAAAAAAAAATACTAGTAGATCTATTTGAACACAAAGCATGCATTAAATTTCAAAAATATGGTCCGCAACTCATAATGCATCAACATGCATTGGAAAACGTTGGCTCAAATAGAGTACATTGGCAAAAGCATTTTTAGGCAGCTTAGAAATTGAACAATAAATGTATTTAGTATGTAATACTTTGTATATTTGATGACAAAACCTCAAGTTCTCACAGAATTAGGATAACTTAATAATTATATATATGTTACATTTAACTACAGTACAAGTTCTCACAAAAGTAGGAGATAGAATTAGGATTAGCTATATAGCCATGAACTTATAAGATAAATTAAGACGCCGTTCTAGTCATATAATTTTTCATCCTACATCTAGTGGATGAAATTTATGCAATCTCATTATTAATCATGTTATTGAAAAATGCGTAGTAATTTGTTTTTACATTTTTTTACTTTATCTTTGTTTGAATTTGTCAAAGATCAACAAAAATAAAAGGTCCAAATCCAAAATATCCATATCCTTGATAATTAAGAAAGAAGAAACATACATGTAATGTTCAAGTCTTCTTCTTGGATACTTCCACAACTTATATTTAAGTTAGGATTATTTAGAAGAGTGCAAGACTCGTGGAATATTGGACAATTGACCAATGTGCCAATCAAGGTAGATTTATTAGTAGTACTACTAACATCGTATTGTCGTACCTTATTTCTAGATCTGCCTTTGGTTTTTTTTTGACATTCTTCACTGAAATCAAGAAAATGACCATCTTTCAAAAAATCAAGAAAATAACCGCTTTTTTTTTTTTTAATTAAAATTATCATTGTATTTCCAATTTCCATTTCGTGGTATATGGGCTAACAAAATACACTAGCCGCCGTGTTTAAGGGATTTTGACTTCAACATAAAAATGTCATCTCACAATATATCATGAGTACATGTATATAGAGACTATATACTTATAACCCCTATTGGATCTAGATGCAAGTGCCATGTTTTTTTTTTTTTTTTTTTTGGGTGAGGAGAAGGTGTTCTATCGGATCAGAGCCTCTCATAGGCATATTCAACCTGGGTATATAGGCAAGGTCCCTTGGGGGTTGGGGACTAGGGGGAAGGGTAAGGAAATTCCCACCCCCAAGTTGCCTCTAGTGGGAATTGATCCCACAACCTAATGGTTATGAGGTGACAATCCTTTCCACTATACCAAGTACTACTTGGTAATAAGATGCAAGTGTTATGTAGTTTTGAAACATATATACAAAATACAATAACTTTTACTCCATATTAAAATTTAAAAAGTGTATATTAATACAATTTACTTGAACAACAATCTTCTTAAGAGAGAAATACCATTGACTTCAAAATAAGGATTAACAACTCTTTTATATAGCATAACTAGATTAGGTCTCGTGCCATACACGGTAATTTCACTATTATAGTATTATTCTATATTCTACATTATATTTGTAAATAAATAAAAATAAAAATATTTTATAAAAAAAATTGTAGATAAAGTATAACCATAATATATATTTTTTCTTCTTATAAAGGTATACAATGAAATAAAACATGAACTATAATGAAAGAGTGAGTGCTGTAAAAATAATGGTATCATTTTTCTTCTTATTAACCAAAAACTACATCCGTTAAATATTAGTTGCGATTTTGGAATATTTTATATCTCACAAATAATACTTTAAAGTTGCAACTAATATTTAACGATGGTAGTATACAATTAAGAATTTTAAAAGTGTATATTAAGCAATATGAGCAGGAATAATAATTGCGTTTTATATCTAGATCATTAGATTGAAGGTTGTGTGTAAATCACTCACTGGCCATGTATCTAGTCATAATTAATTGCATTGTATGTCTCTTGTGATCTTGATAGTTTTTTTCTAAAGTATTTATGTAAATTAATATATTTTGACCAAAACATCTCATTTCATATATATGTCATTCATATTTACTGATGTTGATTAATTTTTAGTAAAATTTTGTCAATAATTATTGATAAAAATATTATTCATAGTTTTCTTTACAAAAGATATTTCTACATTCTCATTTTAATAAATAATTTTATTTTTTCCCTTTCATCATATTTAAATAAATAAAATAATATGTATTCCGTATGATACTTATACAAAGTAAGAGATATATAATAATATTTTATACAATAAAAGAAAATTTGTGAATCACAATTGTATGATTTGGCGAATATATTTTTTTTGGGAAGTGAATCAGAAATATATAATTTAGTGAGTAATTGATGTATGCAAAAAAAATGAAAAATAAGTTTTGGAGGGAAAAAACAGAACCAAGAAATGACACATGTCATTTCTGGTGTCTGTTTTAATATTATGTTATTGATTGGTTGACGCCTGTCACATTAAAAAAGTATTTAATTTGTGACAGCTTATATCTTCCCCTTTCTTTTTAAAAGAATTAAAATTCATAACTAGCCAAATATTTCATCACTTTGGGTGTATGTTATATTTTGAGATAATATATGAAATGAGACTAAACAATCCAAACAAGAAGGAGAGTTTGATTCACAAACTAGGTAAAAAAGATTTCATACTAAAATCAATTGGTAATAATAAAAGTAACTCCTCTACTTATAAAGTGGAACCATCTCTCCACTTTCTTCAATGTGGGACATTGTGGGTTTACAATGAGTTTCAACCGTGTACATTTGTTATTAAAAAAAGAGCTTATTTTGTCTGGAGGGCATGGATTGCTGACTTGCTGTGTTAGACCTTGATTTCAATAATTTTGATACGGATTAGCATTTTCTTTACCATTTAATTTGTTGAAAAATAAGGATCAAACTTCAAAATGAGCTTAGTGTTTCGAATGTACTGTTAAAAATTATCATAGGACAAGGTGGCGACTATTTTTTATATGTATTAATTTTTTAATACCATGATCAATCATGCATTCAAATATTCATAATCAAGGTCAAAGTCAATTATTTAATAGTCATAAGAGTACACAAATACTTAAACCATTGTAAAACATTAAAAATAAAATTCTGTCCCATGTTTTAAAGTAAAAG